ACTAATCCAGTTGAAGTGTTTGATGCACCAGGCCTAACCACAAAGTGGTGACAAAGATACAGGGTCAAATTTAATAGGATTCAAACTATACATTTGAGCAAGAGCTGTGAGACCATAAAGAAAGCTAATAGAAAGCATCCCATGTAGTTTACCCGACAAACACCTGCTTCACAAGATCACTTGAACAGCACCCAGTAACCTTGCCACACATTCCATGAGGAGAGACTACAACTGCCATAACAAGATATTTTGACATCAGCACAAAACAAGAGGTTGAAAAAGTAAAGAGCATACGTCAAGTTGAAGTAATGCCCCCATAAATTGCATGACGAAAACAACAAGAGCACATTAAAAAAGGCACACAACTGAAAAGTGAAAATGGATTGGAAGGACCATACTGCATCAGCATTAATACATAACATACCCCTCTAATTGTCAAAACTTGTAGCTTTCAAAAGAATTGGTCTACAAATGACCTCCTTTGGATGGCTATTGAAAATTGACTTCAGTTTCTTAATACTCCATACCTAATTGAGAAGGATGCTTACCATGAGAATTACTTCTTGATGCCACACAAACTGATTAGCTGTAAATTAACTCTCAAAAGATGAACGGAAGACAAGCTGCTAAGAATGTAACTAATAGCAAATTGGTTTAGTTTAGATACTTTACAGGACATATGTAAAAAAGCCCTCTAAGCACATTGGGAGTAAATAAGTTAATGTGTGGAGAGATTCAATAAAGAAGAGGTCATTGGAATCACGGGAGAGGACTCCTCCCAAAGATTAGAGCTCACTAACACAAGGAGAGGCTCTAAGTGGGTGTTGTTCCAGATTGGGCTTTCTGTGTAATATAGGATTGAGGAACCTCGAGAGCGCGCGCGCGCACACACATACACACACACACACTCCTCCCTTCCCTGGTGCTGGCAGAACATTTGTGCTTTCTACGCAATCACCAGCAACTAAAAGTAAGGAAATCTACTAAAAACCTAAACTAAAAGAGTCATGAAAAAATACCAGGTGAGCAGGGGGGCAATAAAGCCAATATCACAGTCGCACACACAAAGAGGGAAACATATTCTACCTAAAATATTTTACATTTGAGGGAACCAAAATAAAAGAAAAAAAATTGTATCAAGCATTAATAGATGCAAGATTTAATTGCAAAATGTGACACCGTAGTGAGGCCAATTTATGTAAAGGCTAGACTAACAAAACAACAGAATTGCTCACCCCATCACAGTCAGCTTACAAAAAAGTCAAGTCAGAGTGCCCATTGTTTAGCAGTGATGATATATTCAGGCTACTGAGTAGCACAAATGCTCTATAAGAAACAGGTAAAAGAGAAGACTAGAATAACCCAAGGAGTTTATACTTTATGGTCACATAACTGGTATCTGTCACAGTTCAGTAACAGCAGCAATATGACATGAATTCAAGTAAAAACCAGAATAAGGAAAAGAAAAAAAAAAGGCACGAAGAATTTATAAATCTAAGAATATCCGGTCAAAGCCATGATACAACAAGGTAGTATGTCAATAATAACCGATGCAAAAGGTATAGTGCAAAAGATTCACACTAGTAGTGGCATGACACACATGCACAATGAGAGAGAGAGAGAGAAGGCTATCAGGTAATTTCAAAAAAAAAAAAGGGTAACTACCTGGAAGTCTCTGGCCAAGGCTACTAGAAGAGAGCTTCAATACTTTCTCCATATCACCACCAGAAAGTGTCCGTACATGCCTAGAGGAGTACATGACAACCATATAAAGAACAAAAATTAGTTAAGATCAACCAGGGAAAACAAATCAGGAACCAGAAAAAATAGTAAGACATACTTTGCTGATAATATAGCATGCACAAAGATGGCATCTTCACTAGCAGAAAAGACAAATTCAATTGTTGGTTGGCCTTTCCTACAAAATTCAAAAATAAATTAGCAAATTGAATGATATAAAGAAGCATCACAATCTTCCCTTCTGCCCCCATTAACTTATTCCACACATCAACACTTGTAATCCTTAATCTCAGTAAATCAAATTACACCCCCTCTTTCCAACAGCTCAGAAATCAGAACTTTGACAAGAGTACTAATGCATAATAAAAAAAAATATATATTATAACAAGTAGCATCTAACTTGTTTCCTTAAAACATGAATCACTTGATTGGCAAACTGCTCATTGTCAGTAGAGACTAAAAAAACAGGAACTATCACTTCTCAAAGCATATAACTTGTCGAAAAGTCGCAATAAACCTAAAGAGTTCTTCACTTTGTGAAAAGGGTCGATATCTTGAAAACACATCACCATATCTCACATATGAGAGTCCAATAAGTGCTCTGGAACAAAAGTTGAAAAGCAAAGGATAAGCAGAAAAAATTTAAGAACCAAAAGCATGTCCCTGCTATGAGACAATAGGTAAAAAAAAAAATAAAAAAAAAAAAAAAGAGTATAAAATGAGCAAGCAAACCTCTCTAAACGGCTTTTTAGAGCCTGAGACAAAGCAGTTGCAACCTCCTCAGAATCACCCGGAGAAATCCAGAGTCCAGAAGCAACAACTTCAACAAGACATGTCAAGTCAGACGAACATAATAAAATATCATAAACATCAAAGCAGAAATCAGATTACATAAAACAATTAATAGATGGAGATGAAAGAAACAAATGAAGAGCAGCATCACAATTCAAAAAGGAAAGGAAAAGGCAATAGATATCCTCCTCAACCAACAGGAAGATTGAAAATCATATTAATGGCGCTAGTAATAAAGAGGGGGAGAAGTAGGAAAAGGAATGAGTCTGCAAGTACCTCTTAATCTACATACAGCAGGTTGAGCAGTGTCAGAAACGGAGGAATGGCGGCCAGGAAGAAAAAGCCAGAGCTTAATTTTTTCATCTGAAAATAGAAGTAAGATGAAGAAAGAGGAGAGAGGAAGTGAAGAAAAGAGATGTAAGGGAAGCGGAGTAATTACCAGGGTTGTGCGTGCCCTGAGAAGGATCCCAAGGGCCCACAAAGGAGTTAGTCCAAGTGCTGAGAAATCCATCCTTCTGCAGCTGAACATGTGATGAGATAAGTTCAAGTGTAGCAGCATCCCTCTGTTCAGTCCTTGAGCTGCCAAAAGAAAACCATCATCACATAGTTGTTTGTCGAGTCGATTACAACGTAAAAAAAAAAAAACAATAGACAATCTGAATCTGTGATAATACCTTTTATCAGGTAAACAGGTAACATCTGATTCATTTGGCAGAAACTGGAACCAAGATAGCTGATGAAGGCCTCCCTTTAAAAGCATAAATAGCAACACAGCCAGATCAAATCGAAATGAACTAGGCATTAATGTAATGTTAAAAGAAGAAACAGATATTAAAATACATACGATTCTGAAAATGTTGGTCCACATTACTTCTGAGCAGGCCCGTCCCTGAGCCAGGGCAGGAGGGGCGGCCGCCCTAGTTCAATCCTAACACTTAAAGTGTTCTGCAATACATTAGCAACCAAATTTCATTCAATTATCACATTAGCGTCCAAAAATTACATATTTTTAGAAAGAAAAAGCATATTTGATTCAATTTAATCAATTCGGCTCGTAATTTTCTTTTCTAACTGCTTATGATCTTCATAATCTTAGTAATTAGAACCAATAGTTCAGATTTTCGAACCCTAAACTTACTACACTGACATTTAGATTAAATTAAATCAAATCAAAGATAAACCCTAGATTGTGAAATTGATATGATGATTACAAAAAGAAACAACTTACCTCAGAAGCTACTTCAATAGGGGATACAGGTATTAGAAGGCACCTCAATGGAGAACGTGAAGTGCGCTTCAATGGAGAACGAACTCGGAAAGAGAGGAGGAGGAAGTAGGGCTACGTTCGTCCGGTTTTTTTTTTTCCTTATTGAGTTTCTAACGGTTAAGAGTAATACAATGGTTTGGATTGGAGCACCATTAAAAAGCTTGACCCGCCCCAGGTCAGATCCGTCCAGTTAAATGGTGCGAGTCTTTATAAAGTCGTCTAATAAAGGATTCTTATAAATGATTTTTAATGGGACGTGACAAACCTTATCTATTATGGAGTACAAATATTATGTTTAAACCTGTAAAAAAGTGGCAGTCTTTTTTAAGATTGGGTATTTGGGTTCAAATCTTAAACTACTCGTCAATTCAGTTCAGTTCATCTTTTCTTAAATTAGGTCAGTTCAGTTCATCTTTTCTTAAATTAGGTCAGTTCAACACTTCAACCCATAGTTGTGATCACCACTACTCTCTATTACAAACCATCAATTTTCCTCAATCCTTTCATTTTCACTCACATACCATTTCCACATACTTGAGATGACTTGAACTTGACTTTATATTAGTGGGTTTGGATTGAGCTTTCCAACTTGAATTATCAAATTGGTTAACACAAACCCAACCCGAAAGGCCGAAAGATTAAATGAGTTTGGTTAAGGTTGAAAATTTCAACCAAAAATGGCATGTGTAGCCCGACATATTAAATAAGATCAGGTTAAATCAAACTCAATCTAATAGCTCGAACTAAGAGCAACTTAATTAATATCCTATTAACCCATATACACTCATCCAATTACCTCATGTATAAATAATCTAATCCCAACTACCCTTAGAAAATTACGACAATGCTTTATTTGGGTGGTGTAGACATCGACCACGCATAATGTATATCAAATTACCCCTTATATAAATAATCTAATCCCAACTACTCTTAGAAAATTACCAAATGCTTTATTTGGGTGGTGTAGATCTCGATCACGCATAATGTATATATTTGACGAAAGATTTGTTATTAGTACATGTGTTCATTTTATTTCCAAACAAGCGAATGTCATGGACTATCCTCAACTTGTTATGAAAATTTAACATCACGAATCTCATGATATGATAATTAATATGTCCTCTCAACTTTTCTAAATGTTGCAAACTCGTGGGTTGAAGAAAGGAAATCTTTGGGAGCTAAGGAGAAGTAACCGACTGAGTAGTTTTGTCAACTAATAACTATAGAGAGAGTTGAATGGCTTACAAGTTACAACTAAGGAGCTCTAAGTAATGTGATTGCTTCAAATCTTCAATAGCACAGTAAAACACTAATTACAAACATCACCACCACCATCCCCCCCCCCCCTCTCTAAAAAAGGAACAGAAAAGAAAGGAAAAAAAAAGTCTAGAGTAACCGAGAAATGTGATACACTTTACAAGATCACTTCAATGATATCTCAGCCCCCGAGAAGTATAGCTTCAACCTTCAGAGTATATTGGAAGAGTAATTAACAACAAATAAAAATGCACACTATCTGCCTCTATGTTGGAGTCCTTCAGCACATAAGAACATCAACAGAGGAAAAAGGTCTGTCAAACAATTTAAGACTCAATACATGACGATGGCCTTGCAGAAGATGATTCGCCCAAGGAAACAGAAGCTAAAGAAGAGGCCCAAACACGGGCACTTCTGGCCCCTTCCTGAAAATTTCTAATCTTACATAGCTTCAGCTTACTCCATACTCTCTTTACATCCATTACATGAGCAACACGGGCCAACAATTGGTTTGACTCTCCCAAAATTCCCAAATTTAATTGGCACTTGCACAGCATCCATAATGCTGTGACACAAGACCAGATTTCTGGACAAATACAGAGGAACCCCCGCAGCACCAGGAATAGAATTGCAAAAACCAGATAGGGTTCTTTCACTATGATTTCTCTCCATGATGACCAATACCATGGTTCAGGTACTATTTCACCATTCATTATGTTCGCGACCGCATTATGGGTGTGATACTCTGCAGGGACAAATCCTGATACATAGGAAAAGCAGTTAAGACACGAAATGAAAGCAAAGAAAAGGATTGCACAAATCGAAGAAAAATGGACCCGAAGGAAAATGTGGACAGAGAAGATAAGACAGCAAGACACAGCCAGAGATTCCAGGATTAATTATACCTGCAGGATGATCCTAAATCTACTACCGCAGCAACAATGCAATACATACATCCAGCAAGACCCTGGAACTATTAAACACCAGACACTTAACAGTTCTTCATACAAACGGAGCATTATAATTCAGTGAGGCTAGTCATGAATATTAGCACATTAATGAACATTATAGCTTGACTTAACACCATTATATGCAATATCAATACTCCTATCTTTTAAAAAGACTATAAGACTACATTAGACATTTTATGTGTACTTTAATGAAGATTGATTGATATTTGAGGCATCATACAGATCATAGGAACCAGAAACAATATACAACTTTCTTTTGCTGTAAGCCAGTACCAGTAATTCTCTTGTAAAAGTGTGCCAGGGAATGAAGCTCTTTGGGACCATAATAGCAAATCGGTTCAGCTTGGTTCACAATGAAGAGTGCAGGTAAACTGTGGATCCCATATCTTGATAACAAACTGCAAATTCAGACATTCAGCAAATAAGGAAATTTTGCATGCACACAGGCTAAATTAAATTGTATGGTAAGGAAATAGCTCTTCTTTCTCGAGCTGTTCAGTTTAAAGATTGGCCTGACTCGAAAGGAGACCACTGACATACATGACAGCAATATAAACTACCCTACACTTAAGGAAAAGAATCAGCCATGTGAAGCAAGGTCTTTTTTAGAGGCAGGATCAACAGATAACAATACTAAGAGGCCAATAATTATATCGTACATCAACTCCATAAAGCTGGTAATAAAACCTTATAGCACCGTACAACATTCTCTCACCTCGGCATGACCATTGATAATTCAACTGATATATGGCCAACTCCTGGGAACATGGAACTCAGAATATCAAATTTAGATCTCATGCTATTTGAAAATGGAGAACTTGAGTCATAAAAGAGAACAGCAGTATATACATCCTTTGGTGTAGATCTCAGAATTTGTTCGAGGTTTTCTCCATCCACCTGCAAGAAAGGGGGGGAGGGGTGGATTCAGGTAAACGCAAGAATTACCTTCTGAAACCAATAGGTCAAACAGAATTGATAAGAATTGCAATGTACAAAGCGATAAATCATAAATGTATGATGTTAAAACAATAGAGTAAAACACATTACAGTTCCTAAAATTGAAATCTGATGAAAAGGAAAGTTTAAATTTTTCCCGATAGTGAGGGTTTTTTAGTTTTCATGCCGAGAAATTCTGACAGGCAAGGGTCATCCAATGTCTTGAATCTGCTACAAAAAGAAAAGCTTCAAGGGTGTACCAATATTTTAAGGTCTGACTAAACTCCAATATAAACATATAATGCTTGAGCACTAAAATTTTCACGCGCCAAAGCAAGTGGTGTGCAGAATTAATGATGTTGGACTACAATTGGATGAACTAGGATACAATAACGACAATGTAGGCGATAGAGTTTTAAGTTTTAACTCAAAGTTAATGAACACTATCGGCCCATCTGGTTCACCCCAAATTATACCTTAATCTTGACAGATTTCCATAATCACCCATTACCATTTAGAGAGGTATTGGACATTTAAAATGGAAAACACAAGTTTGTGTATAAGGTTATTACCACAGATATTGAGATGTCATTTGGCTTGCCCAATTACACATAAAATTTCATCTCTATCACTACTTGGCCACCAAACGAGCTGTAAAAATAAGTGAGATGCAATGATAGAAAGAGATCCTCTTTTTAAGTATTTATTACGTGGTTAAGTTTGATATTCATTATAATTCAGAAAATAGTACTCTGTATCCTTAGAATGAGGCTCGGTCCAAAAAAAATTCTTATTAATTATTATATTTTAACAATTTCAGTCACCCATAATAATACTATCAATCTATTACGGTACATAGCTACATACTACACCAGGCCGCCAGGGGCATTGAACGGGGCGCTAACTAATTCGGCTCTTTAGAAGCTGATTAATTGTGAAGGATAATATATAAAAAAGAGATTAAACGAAATGAATCATTTTGAAAAAACAAGTCTATACAGAAATAAAAAAACAAAAAATGAAATTGATGATCAGCTCCCTCAAAATTGATTGGGAAAATAATTAATTGAAAACCTAAAAGGAAGAAGATGAAAGAAAGAAACCTGGATAGGAGGGTTGAACGATGGGATCTGGCGAGGACATTGATGGTGAAGAAGATGGAGGAAGTAATCAGAGTTTGGCGAACAAATACATGTCAAAGGATGACAGAAAGTTAAGGAAGGCGTCACCAAACACAGCAACAGCAGCAGCATCGTCGTCGTCAATGGTATCTGGAGCTCCATTCAAATTTCCAATATTCAAACACTCACAAAATCAATATCAACAACCAATTCTTTCAAACTAAAGCAGGCCGTTGCTCCGCACCACCTTTCGGTCTTCACTTTTTTTTTTTCTTTTTTTTTTTCTCTCTGTCTCTCCCAAATCCTAATTATACATACAAATAAGAATTTAGGAACCAACGACAGACTCGCGTACCTTAATTATTGCTATTGCTAAATCTAGGGGTTTTACCTTTTAAGGATTTTTCACCCAAATCCTTGGGATTAACTTTTTCATTAATATATACCAATATACATGTGGCATGATATATTTACTTCACATAGCTTATATGCAATTGATACCAAGTAAAGTTTAGTAGAGTTGGTGGAGAACTCACCTAATCCCCACTAATAACAAAATGCTTGAGAAGTTGAGGATATGGGGATCCCTTACCTCTCCTTCGATCCTCAAATGTCGACTTGTGAAGCTGGCTGGCTGGCTAAATATGTGAAAAAACAAATAAGTAAAACTATACTTTAGTAAGGTTAGAGGTGATCATTGGGCGGGCCGGATCGAGACAAAAATTAGCCCACTTCTCGGGTCGGGCTAGAATTTTTGTGCCCAAAATGGTCGGGCAATGCGGGCTTTCGGGACGGGGTCAACTAAAAATGCGTAAAACCACATTCCCAAACCCGCCCCAAAAAAAAAAATCGTTCGGGCCAAAAAAACTGCCCAAAACCCGCTCTAAATCGGTCAGGCTAACTTTGATGAAGTCTAATCCTTCATCTTACCTTAAAAAAAATTACATACAATCGATATAGTTTTGGTAACTTTTTCTTAATATTGATTCAAACCACATACCAAGGTATTGTTTGGTTGACATGGGAACTAAATTTCCATAAAAAAAAAAAAAATTAAAAAAAAGAATATTCCTAGGAATTTTATAAACTTGTTTGGTGATATGTCCATTTTATATAGTGTTTTACCCCGTCCCTTGGTCGTTATTAGTAGTGTTTTTGGCTCTTTCGGACCACTTTTATTACTAATTTGTGTGTTATGTGTTTTCGTAGTTTTAGTTGTATTTTACAGGAAATTGCACTCTTGGAGCATTTTCCCGGGCTTTATGGATTAACTACGGAAGCTAGAAGGACGCGACCACTTTTGGAGCCCAGGATCGGTGAGAGCCGGTGATTAAGGGCTCGATATTGGGATCCCGAGGCATTTGGACCAAGTATTCGAGACCCGAGAGGAAATCCGAATTGGGCCGAGAAATCTAGCCCAATCGAAGTCCAAGCCTCAAGGGGAGCAAAGACCCGATCGGGCAACCTCTAGCCCGATCGGGCGCGGCAAACCATAGTGATGTGCATGCTAAGGAGCGCCCGATCGTGCGAGCATCTAGCACGATCGGGCAATGCTGCTTGGGAAGAACGCGAAGAAAAAGGCGTGCCCGATCGGGCGGCCCTTCGCCCGATCGGGCGTGCGTTTTTAGAAGACCTGATGATGTTTAGTTTTAATTCTTGTTTTAGAAAACGTTTAAATACGCTTTTGTACGGAATTTTTAGATGATCTTCTTTCTTAGACTTTCTCTCTCTACTTAGGATCTTTTCTCTCTCTTAACTCTTCTCTCAACTCTTGTTCTTAATTATTTCCATTAATACAGATTAGTTTGGTAACGATTTCTCTTCTCTTAATCTTATTTCCCTTCATCATGACTTATTTTATTGCTTTGATTAGTTTAGATTTAATTATGTGTGAGTAGTCTATTTCTAGGGTTCATGGGGATCCATAAATCATATGAAGGGGTAATTTATTGTTGTTAATTATCAATGCTAGATTAATTTTCTATTGATTGATTTAATTCTCTGTGACTAGATTTGCGCAGATCTTTTATACATGAGTTTAACAATAATGATTCGAGATTCGACAGATGAGAATTGATGTTTAGGTCTAGTTTCAATAGGCAGGTTAATTTATAAATGGTTAAGTCGAGATTCGAGAGATGAGATTTAATACCGGTAGATTAATTCTGTGATTGTAATACGTAGAGAAAGCCCTTTACAATCTGGTTAATTGATGCATTGATGATTGACTATTATTGATTATTGGTATTGCATGATAATTTCTTATTGCACTAGTAGAAAAATAGAAATTGGCACCGAGCAATGGCCACCGGTTTTTAAAAACCGGTGGCAAAAAAATGGTGAAAAATCGGCGAGATTATGAGGAAAGGGTATTGCCACCGGTTCAAACTGAACTGGTGGGGAAATTATTATTGCCACCGGTTCAAAACTGGTGGCTTTGTCTTTAAAAAAAAACCGCCCCTTCATAAACCCTAACCCTATCACTCTCCTCTCTATAGCCTCCCCTCCTCTCCCTTCTCTCTCCTGCTCTCCCCCTCTCTTCTCTCTCCTGCGATCTCCCCTCACCACTTCTCTCTCATTCTCAACAACCATCATCGTCGCCGCCATCTATCTCTCATCTTCTTCTCTCTCGTTATCTCTCTTGCCGTAGTTAGAGCTCAGTTGCAAAATCGAAAATCTCCCCTAAAACCATAAAACACAGGCGAAAGCTCAACAATGGCGGACGGGTCGAAGAATCTGGCGCCGAACGCTTTTCCCCGTAGTTTCTCTCTCCTCCATTTATGTAATAGCTTAATCTGACCTAATTTTTTGTGCAATTTTTGGTGATTTTGATTTGAATTTGTGAAATTTTCTCAGCGAAATTGAATACGAAGAGAAAACGGTGAATTTGATTCAGCGAATTGACTTCGCTTGGGCGTTGGAGAGAAATGCGAAGAACCAGAAGACGAAGGAATCATCTGCACTGTAAGATCCTTTTACTACGAATTACACTGATTTTATTCTGAGCTGAAATTAACACTATTACAAGCTATTTTTGGTTGTTTTTTCTGTTTTTTTTTTTTTTTTTGCCATTTAGCTGATAGATTTGTTAGTTGTTTGATAAAATGTATTGATTATTGAGCTTGAATCAATTTTAACCCAGAATTGTGGGAAATTTTGCTTGGTTTTTGCTGGATTTTGGTGGGTACTTAGACCTATGGATTAATTTTTGTTTGATTGAATTTTGGTCTAATTGTGTATAAAACATGATTACAGTTGCCTTAATTTGTGATGTTATGTGAATTTTGTTCTGATAGTATTTCCATAGTTGTTATGTGATAGACAAGAAAGAGTACTTAATGTGAGATTCCCATGTCCAGGAGAAATGATAGTTCCAATTGCTGAACTACAGAACAAATAGGTAGCAGATAGATAATATCACTTACAAGATGAATTACCTTGCTAATTTTGTTATTTGAAAGCTATGGTTTTATATTACTCTTGTTAATCTATATGCTTACTTGGTGTTGGATTGAAGTTGCATTTGTGGTTTTGTATGTGCAAGACTTACAAAGTTACACTAAATAGGGCCTGCTCAAAGTAACAAGGAAAAAGTAAAGGGAGGTTGGACCTTGAAAAACTTGATAGTTTTAGGTGTAACCATGTATATTCCTAATAACTTTAGGATTATTATCCTGCCCATAGATTATGACATTTGCAGCTTAGATTGAAAACTTTTAACCAATTTATTTTCAAGATCGTGCATTTTCTTTGTGAGCTACTATGTCTACAATGTTTCCTCATTTTTTTAGTAATAAAGTAATAAAGCTACTATGTTTACAAATTGTGATCACATGCTTGAATATATAGCTCTTATAAAAGAGATAAACAATAGAATTGTATGCTCTTGTTATTTTACAATTAGATCAAGGCATCTTTAGCACAATTTTTGGTGATTTTGAATTTATTTTTTTTTTGAATTTTTCTGCGATTTTTGAGTGATTTTTGTTTGGTTTTGTTGATGAAATGGTTCTAAGATTTGCTAGTAAAAGGTTCTAAGATGATGCTAATTAATGAAATTGAAATTACTTGGCAGAACTTAAAGTTTGAATAGCTGCAAAAACGACTAGACAACCCTTTGCAACCCCCACTACCTTGATGGCATTACACAGTCATTGTATTTTGATTTTTGCCGTTGAGACTATGAAGATCGTTGAATTGGTATGTGCTTCAATTAGTAGAACTTTTCTAATTCTCTGTGATTTATTGGTATTAAATACGGGCAAATTTATTAGTATATGTTCTAATCATTAGAGTATAATAAGCTGATGAAACCGAGCAAGTAGGATCTATCTTGAGTGTGCTCTTATATATTAAACAGAGCAAGTAGGATCTATCATGTTTATTTTGCCTTACTTCGAGTATTTGATTGGTTATACATGGTTGAATTTGCTTTTTGTTGGAAATATTCTGTGGTGCTAATTGTAAGGGGTCAAAATCAAATTAGTTTTCTGATAATTTTGACATTTGATGATGATATTTTTGTATTCTGATGTTGTGATTGATTCTTTGTTATTATGCATTATTATTGATGTTGTTGCGATATGCCTATGTGGTGTGATTGTGAGATTTGATTATTTCTAAATACAATGCTGATGTGATGTGCCTATGTGGTGCCGATGTGTCTTAGGTTTCTTAATTTTGAGTTTTGGTGAAAGAAGGGATCCTTAAGTATGATATGCATTTCTCTTGGTGCACTTGTGTTAATTGCTAATTTAAGCTACTTGCTTTTACTGCCCTTGCTGCCTGGTTTTGATATTATGATATATATATATGTTTATGTGCTACAAATACTTGGCACTTTAAAAGAGATAGAGCACTCCCTCATGAGCATGTTTGAATTTGAGGTGCCAGCTTTTTATTCCCTTTCGTTTTTTTTTTTTGGTTTTTGTGTTGACTAGACAGTCATGTAAGTTCATAATAATGGAGTTTTCCAATCTAGGACAAGAAAAGGAGGGTGGGGTGAACCATATGAATGTAGAGAGTGAAATTTCAGTTTGTGTGTGTAAATTCTACTTAGCTGTGTTTATTGCAATATGCATGCATTCTGTATCATGCTACCTTTATTGTGAGTGTGGTGTAGTAAGGACTGTATACGAAGTATATATTAAGATCTATTGCTTGAACAAGCTTGCAGGTCCACAAAGAGGGACAATTGCATTTATTGCTTGATTGGAGTGGTGGAGCATTCTAGATCAATGTCAGAGGAGGTGACAAAAGAGAAAATATACGAGGACTATTGGAAGATTTTATCTATACGCAAGGTTGCTGCTGCCTCGCCAAGGCTGTTACATTGGTGTGACTTAGCTTGTATTTAACAGTGACTAGTATTTTTTTTAAGTTTTTTGGACCAAAATTGTAATATTACAGTCTTTTTTTAATGAAAATATGTAAGTATATATATATGTTAGTGTTTATATATCAATTTATGTGGAAAAAATGCAAAAAAAAAAAATATTAATTTTTTGAGCCATTTTTGCCACCGGTTTTGAACAGAACCGGTGCCAAAAACCCCTTTAAAAAAAGCGGGAATGGGTTTTTGCCACCGGTTAACCGGTGGCCATAATAAATATTACCACCGGTTAACCGGTGGCAATAATCATTTTTGCCACCGGTTTTGAACCGGTGGCCTTTCTTGGGGTTATTGCCACCCCCCAAATGACCACCGGTTCAAAACCGGTGGCTTAGGGGGGTTTTGAACCAGTGGCTAAGTGGTTTTTTCGCCTAGTGTTGAATTGTTTTAACGTTTTACAATTGCGGCTTGTAAAAGTATGGCAATATTAAATTGATGAATCGAGCAGATGTTAATTTGATATTAAAGGCTATTTTCAATAAGAACTTAGATCTAGTAAATTGCGAGAGCCTGTTAGATCTATGTTGATTAATAAATTGCGAGAGCCTGTTAATTATGTTATTTATGCAATGTCAATAATTGATTACTATGTTTTACCCTGGAGTATTATTTATTGGTGAACCTATGCCCTAGATATTTTTATATACTGTTTTCTCCCTATTCCTATTCTTTGTAGTTTAGTTTCATACTCAAATATAAATATTGGTTACTTAGATAATTTAGATTATAATAATTAATTAGGAGTAAAAAGACTTGTTTCCCTATGGATTCGACCCTACTTCCCTATCTACGTTAGTTAGAGGATTTAAGAATTACTTTTGATTAGGGGATACGACTTTACCCTGTCATTTGGTTGACAATTAAGAATTCAAAATTCTCATGAATTTTGATTGACCAAGGAGGGCTTGGTAATTTAATTCCCTTGTTTTAAGAGAAGTTGAAATTTCCATGAATTTCCACTTTTTTTTTTTTTTTTTTTTTTTTTTTTTTTTTTTTTGGAAAAGCACTTCTTCCATTTTTCTTTTAAGTGTCAATCAAACAACTTCTCAATCTATCAAATCCCATGAATTTCTACTTCCCCATATTGTCAACCAAACAAGACTTGAAAATATGCAACATTCTCTCTCTCTCTCTCTCTCTCTCTCTCACACACACACACATATATATCTTTATATCATATTTCAAACTAAGATTATACTACGTAATATTTTCCACTTGCAATGTGTGCTTTACACAGATTTTAATAATAATAAAAAAAATTAGCAATGTGTGTGCCATGAGGGGTATGAAAATTGAGGGACAAACTAAGGCAAAGCAATGCTAAACAAGTTAGGACAACAAGGCCAACTCAAGATAGAAGGGGCTAAATACGACATAATTATCAGAGGTGGGTCAAAAAACACGAATAAAATGATTTTAAACAACAATTACACTTCTGGAGGCATTTAGAGAACCAATAAAATATTTATCGATTCATAATTTTATCAAGTTCAAAAATATCCATTATTAGCCAATTTGGGCTATAAGCCTATAATACTTGAAGGGTCTGTTCACATTTACTGAACTGAGCTGAACTGAACTGATTGGAGTTGAATTGAACTGAATTGAGCTAAAATGAATATTTTATGAGAGAGAAAAATTAAGAGCTGAAGTGAACTGAAATTAAGTAAATATGAACAGACCCGAAATTGATTCAATTTTGAAGATATTTGGATCCAATATCGAAAACTCATGGAGTGATTTGTTCGTATGTAGGAGATTAATGTAGTTGATACATCAAACAAGCTGAGTGGAAACTCGTTGATTAAGTTGGTAAATAATATTTCTATCTAATACTATTAAAAAACGAATTTGGTGTGTTAGTAGTATTTGAAGAAAGAAAGAGAGAGAAAAATAGTAGTCGGGAAAGGGGAAGGAGAAGGGGTGAGAGAGAAAAGGAATAGGCGGAGTGAAAATGCAGAAATTGAAAACCCTGGTACGGCAGTGGCGATGTAGTTATAGTTATAGTTATAGTTACAGTGCGAAAATGAATAATAAGAAAGCATCAATGTTGGTGGAACGAACCCTAGTGACGACGGCACGATTTGGCAATTCATCATCAACGACGACATGGATGGGGTTGGGCTATTCTGTTAATCAGCGTCGCGGCGTGAAAGTGGCCGGCTCCGAGGTACTTAGCTTTGATTCGATGTTTATTAATCCCATTTATCATTTATGATTCATCAACTAGTTGAATGATGTTTGCAGGTGAGGACGGGGAACATTGTCCAAAGAAAAGGTATTTTATTTCTCTACTTAATTGCTGCTGCTACCTCTACCATTCCACTCTAATTCCGCCTGTCTTCTCTCTATTGTTATTTATCAGGCCGCATTTACCAGGTACTCTCTTCTTTTTCTTTTCATTCTCCATGTTATCATTATTACCGAGTAGCAGGAGTATCATTCCTTCTTTCTTCAGGTTATCAAAGCACAACACACTCAGCATGGCAGAGGAGGGGCCTCCATTCAGGTTCATCATTGATGCTTTCATTCATTCATTCATTCATTCATTCATCGGATTCTCTACTGATGTCTGTCAGGTTGAGCTTCGCGATGTCGACACTGGTAACAAAGTTACTGAAAGATTCCGTACCGATGAATCCCTTGAAAGTACGCATCTTACTCTCTATCTGTCTACATTTTAGGATCCCGACACTCACTCAGGATTTCTGCAGGGGTATATGTTGAAGAGAAGACTTTCCAGTACTTGTACTCTGAGGGAGATTTGGTAGTCTTGACAGAGTCAGTGTGCCTAACCCTTTTAACTCTTATTATCCAACTACACTACTTATAATTGCTTGCTCTCTTGTGCTTGCATCAGCCCTGAAACATTTGAACAGCTAGAGGTCCCAAAAGAATTGTTTGGAAAAAATGCTGTCTACCTCAAAGGTGCTTTGTTTTTTTCCCCTTCCTCACCTGCTATACAATCTAACTGTGCTGTGTTCCTCATATCATCTCCTTTATCTTCACCATTCTTTTCTCATTCACTTTCTTCATAGCCTTTGTTATGGTTATTCATTTTTAATTAAATTAGCTAACTAAATTTATCAAGGATGAATAGTATGCATCTGATATTAGCTATGTACTGCAGACATTCATTACTTCCCTTTAAGGCCCCTAATTTCCTTTACAAAATTTCTCAAGTCATCTGTAAAAGAACATCACTCATTTTTCTACGATCATTATCCATAGATCCATGATATGTTCATTTGATGATGCAGAGGATATGACAGTTAGAGTGCAGTATTATGACGGGAGACCGATGTCCACAACAGTACCTTATCGTGTTACATGCACAGTTGTTGAAGCTCAAGCTCCTATGAAGGGCCTCTCTGTGAATCCTCAGTATGCTTCTACTGATCTTGACTTTTCTATATAAACTTTTCCCCGACTAGTTTTATGCTCAGTTTTTAGCCTTGTGTCTTTTGTCTTACATCAGTAGTTAAGTTTCTCATTCATGTTTATCTGTTTAGGTTATTTGCAAAGAGAGAATCAAGTTGAATTTCTTGCTTGTTTGTTATTTTATTTTATTGTTATTAATAATTAAGAGTTTTACTTCAAAAAAAAGGTATAAGATTAATACAACTTTATACCAAACACTAAAACACTAAAAACAAATTAACTACTGGTCAAGCACCGTTAAATATCAGATTTCCCGTGGGCTATGTTAAATTGACTTTCAAATTCTAGATTAATGAGGTTGATGGACTTTTCATCCTGCCATTAGATGATTCCTTACATACAATTAATATGGGTGCTTTGATCTAAAAATTATGAAATTCTGCATATAATGATGAGTAGCAACTGTGTTGAAATTGTTGCTGCATGTTTGTATTCCTAGTATCTCATTCAATAAGTGCATTATTAATGGCTCACTAATGTTATTTCAGTGAAAGGATAGAAGGCAGAAGTCGTGGTACTGTGACTACTGTCAGTTTTATTCTTCCACTAGTTCATTTTTTTTACTGTGGTGCACTGTACTTATTTGTGAACATGCACCTTTTGTAAGTATCTTTAGTATAACCTATTTTCAGATTGACTTTTGAACTCTACTATGGTAGGAAAAAAAGTGCTATGATTTTTTATATGTTGCCTTCAGAAAGCTTTAATATGCTCTCTTTTCTCACTCTTTTGTAGACTTAATTATTTCTTTCTTGGCTTGCTCTTTTGCAGGTACAAAAAGGTTTTACTGGATAATGGCCTGACAGTTCTTGTAAGTAAATATATATTGTTTTTATTTTTTGATTGATAGGCTTATAGCCTTATACTGTAGAGTTAGTGACTTTTTTTTTTTGTGGCAGCTTCAAATCATAGCAGGTTCAAATAAACATAACATATGAGAATTTTTTTATACCACTAATAGATCAAGTGTTGGGTATAAGGGTAATTAGATTAAACTGTACTTCCTTGCCTCTTACGGTTAAGAGCTTAGGCTGCATATTTTGTTTCCCAAGCTTAGGGTTAAGAGCTTACGGTTGAATTGGGGACAATATATTGGAATCATTAATTCATTATGGAGCATGACCTATGCTGAAGTGGCCTCTAGCCCATTCCTAATTTTCTGTCCCTGACTCACTGATCCAAGGGAGTGCACAAGTGCTTTAGTTACATTAGTTTTTCTCTGATGTTAGGATACATTAATATGATACCTCGGCCTTGTGGTTTTGGGTAGCTTTCCCGCTCCCACATTGACATTTGTATCGACCTTTGGATTCTTTTAGAGATTATGTCGTCGACCTCTTGCTTCTAATGTCATAGGTGAGAAAAAAAATTATAATTAGGGTCATTTTGTGAAATAAATAAAAACAAGACTTACCATTTCAGTGTAGCAATTGTTTAGGGTTACCATTGAGAATTTCCCATTTTATTTTCATTTCTAATTCTAATATCTTTATGACATTTAGATTTGTGAATTTGAATTACAATTTAATTCAAATGTGAGGCATATGAATTTCAGATAACTGTTTCCAAAAAAAAAAGGCGCTGTTAAATTTAATGCATCAAACTTAAGCCTTCTCTCATTTTGTCACTAAAAACTACAACCTGGTTAAGAATTAGTATCAATTAATGTAGAACAAACTTTCGTTGTTGAGAATTAATGAATTTTTTTGGGCACTAAGGCTATGCCCCTGTGTCATGTCAATGATCACATCTATACTGGGTACTATTTTACATAATAATTAATCATGTTTGAGCCTTTGTGTTATGATTTTGGTTCTTCTCCTTTCTAATTGGGGATAATATGCTGTCTTGCTGATTATGATTAATGATGATGGTTCATCTGTTGGCATGAATGTTGCTAGGCTGCCTAGGATACTAAATCAATATGGTCAATGACATACTATTTGTGTTATCTGTGAGCTTCTCCATTGGTCTAATGGACTTTAATCCAATTAGAATTAAGCAATTAGAGGTTATTACCAAATGGGTTCGAAAGATGCTTGCTAGATATGACTCTTGCTTAAATTATGATGTGATTTATAATTGATTCTTACATTAGTTTTATAAAGTTCCTAAGTCAATATATAATGTTTTTTCTTGTTCAAGTCCAATTCCCTTGCATCTCAGCTTATATTCTGCCTTTTCTATTGTCTTGTACTCTTGTTTATTTCTTTGCTGTTTTTACAAGACAGGCTTGCATTTGATTCACCATTTTACCTAATCTCTTTAAATCCAGGCTCCTCCATTCATTGTGACTGGCGATGCAATCGTCGTGAATACTGCAGATGATTCTTATATTACAAGGTGACATCGTTACAATTGCCCAAATTTTGGCATGAATGTTCCTTTGAATTTTTCCATTTCTCTGTGTTATTGGCAGTTCACTTGACGTAATTTTTATAAAGATGGTATTTTTAGGCAATAGATTTTTCTTGTTACATTATCTGCCCTAGAAGCCCCTAGAAGAATATTCTCATTGACTAACCTCACGCATCAAAATAGAATATTTAACATGCAGCAAACATTGACTTGACAAAGACAATCTTGTATCCTATTTAAAATTTTATGGAGTTTAAACTCTATTAATGACATTGTAGCCTTGTAGGTACATGGTAGAGAAATTTTACATTAAACTGATACTTGTATGTTGAAACATTAGTTGTTATATTAATAGGGACTACGGACTAGGGAGTGTTTTGTAATTATCTCATATTCCCATCTTGTAGTTGTCTTGCTTTTAGGGATTGCTTCTTAAAATCTAAATGCATTATAGCTCCAAGATTCCTTGTGTACTTGATATCTTGGTTACCAATGATACTGCTCATATAAGGTTCAATCAAACGACTGTATTCTTAATAGTGGTAGGCATGAAATTTGCCGGAAGTTGTACAGTGGGAAAGTAGCAAACTCCTCATTTATTTGTTTGACAAAAGTACTAGGACTTTTGGGATGTAAAACCTATTACAACTGAAGTTACCAAACAGCTTTAGGCCTTCCAAGATATGTGTTTTACTAGATAGTTTAACTTTCCTCATCTGTTATTGGAACCTGTTTAACCTGATAAAATGTCTTTATAATTGCATGCTGTGGGACTTGCAGTAGAAAAATATATATTTGGGAGAAGGAATGCAGATCATCCATAAAGCTTTCAACTGATTTTCAGCTGTTATGGAATTAGTGGGGTTGTGCCTCCATGTATTAGGAGACAATACTTGATTGATGGGCTTTGAGTTCATGTGTGCACAACCAGTTGATTCATATGTGAACCATTGACGCTTAATTTGAACACTTTTAAAGTCATTTTTGGTGTAGAAAGAACCATATAGGCTAGTATGTACTATGTAGACAAGATTTGGTAGTACCCACCAATACTTTAACTAATACAGCTAATTGACATCCACAACAATTTTGAATTTGAAGTTAAAAATGTTTTGTTAACATATGTTTAGTCATTTTAGCGATCCAACTAGCACTTATATGACAACAGTTAATGGTTAAAGAGGCAAGCGTGCTACTGCTTACCTCTGATCTGAGGTGTGTGGAATGTGGATGAGTGGATCTCTTGTTCTTGAGTCCCGATCTTAAATTTTCTACTTCAAATACCAAGAATTATTTTGTTTAAAAAAAAAAAAAAAATTAAATTCATGATTCAGAGTTCTACATTGACAAGATTTCAAATTGGATGTCAAATTGATGATATGGAAGGTTTTTTTATGTACGCTTGAGGATTTAATGTCATGTATGGCACTAATTGTTGCTTATTCTTTGCAGGGCAAAGTAGTAATGTGTACATCCTGAAATTTGGCATACAACATCTTACTATGAAGATATTCATTGTGAAGATTTAGGAATGTTCTATTGTGACAAAATGTTACTCCGTAACATGATATAGACAAGCTTGAATAATCTGCGTATCTATTGGTGATTCACAGTGGAAATGTTTTGCTTTTCCATGTAAAATTCTCTCTCTCTTTTTTTTTTTTTCCTTCTGCTTGTTGTTTGAAGGATTTTGCTGTTATATGCTTATATTAGCGTTAATTTTGGCTTCTTATTTCCGAGTGATTTGTTTTTGTTATTAGCTGTATGGATTTATTTATTTTTTTTAAAAACTTGGGCGATTTAGAATAATCAATTTTATTTCAGCATATTTCTGGGCACCTTGTATATGAACATGTTGCCTATTCAAATTCTGTAAATACACATGCATGGTGTTCAGGTTGTTACAGATAATATTTAGTGTTTCAAATGATACGTTTTGCACTTTAGCAGTAGTATAAAGTTATTACACGGCGAAGTGCTATGTTGTCCAACATATGATTGTACATTGTTGAGGAATGAGCACCAGAATAAGGGGTCAGAATGTGAAAAAAGGAAGGTCATGACTCAATCCTTGTTACAAGCAGCACAGAACATGATTATTCTATAATTTATAAGCAAAAGACTAAACTGTGAATTGCGGAAAGATCCATGCTGCAGGTATCCTATTATATATCATACGAAGTACTATTTATTTTCCTTCAAATTACTTGGCAGTCTCATCTTTGAAACTCCGAGGAGCAGAAATGTTGAGACAGCAAAAGTGCTGGAACTGTCGCTTCAACCCTCCTTCAACCCTTCAATCATGTCAATCATAAATGCATAGGTATTACAGTCCCACGGAAGTCTCAAACTTCTGGATTTGATGGAGGAAAATCAAGGTCAACTGCATAAAATTGCACAGCAAATTAGACGCAGTTTGCCAACTTAGCTTAGTATAACTAATCAAACGCAATGCGATGAAGATGAAGGAAAGGGATTTGTGCAGAAAGAGGCACTCGTCCCTGGGAGGAGGTGTGAAGAAGTTAGTAACTCACCATAGCGTGGGGTGCAATTCGAACACAATAAACAGGGAAGCCGGTATAGAATTTGAGTGGCCCCCCAGATTTCAAGGTCTTCATGGCACAATCTAATGAACTTGTATAAGGGTACTTGCCCTCTGTATCTGGTTGCATTTTTTGTATTTGTGTTTTAACATAATCAAATGGCAAACTGCAGGCCGAGGCAAAGAAACCAGACACTGCACTGGCTCCTGAACCAATATATAGCAATAAAAATTGGAAGTTACTACATACTGTACTGTATATGGGATTCAACTAAATATGTAGATCAGATCATAGAGTTGGTGACCAAGTAATTTACCTAACACCGTGGAAGTTTCTGTTAAACCAAGGGAATCCCGGAAAAATTCGACACTTTGGTCATAGGAGGCAAGCATACCCATGTTAAGCGCCATGGCTCTGACGATTGTAGGGGCAGCTCCTTTCCATAGTGCCAAAACCCCTTCATCAGCAACAATACGGACAAGTGCATGGAATGCGTTTTTGTAGTGACGCCGTTGTGCCAGTGGTAAGGTTGCATCAGCTTGCATGCGGATCAGCGCCAAGTCTGCTGGGCTACCAATACATGCTCCAATAGCACCAGCACTCAAACCACACAAAGCCTTTTGATATAGGGGTAGAGGCTTCCCGTCATTAGCAGCAAGTGCTTTGTTGGTCAAAATCCTAATTATAATGAAAAACAAGTGAAACAGGCTATGTTGGGGGGTGGAGTTAGGTGGTCAGTCATTTCAGACACAACAAAAAATGAGTAGTACTATGCTATGGCTCATCTAAGACTTGCTTGCTGCTTGGCAGAGGAATGAGTAAAGAGAGAAGTTTAATTAAGCAAAAGACGACGGACTGCTGGAAAACGAGAGACTGACCTGAAAGATCCAAGACGGGCAGTTGTATAAGTGGCTTGCCTTAGCAAACCTGCGGATAGACCCTGTAGCCTCCAAAATAAAAGTACAAAAATTATGATGAGTAGTGCATTAAAAATTAGGCTAATAGGGTAAGGAGTAGATTTTGGTAACAGAAACGTATTCTTTCTTCTTCTACTTGTTACGATTATGTACCACATACAAGTTTCAACTGAATTGAAGCAGGGGATGTACACTTGTAATTAGGTTACATTAAGAGAAGGCTGTAATATGACCCCTGGAATTAGTTGTCACGTTAATAGTTTAATTTACACTGGATTTTATACAGAAGTTGGATAACAGAAACTAAAGCTAAGCATGATATAATTGTAGTACCCTAACTAAGTAATCCATAAATAGTACGTGTATGTTCAACTTCCTGATGCAAATGTAGTGCACGCATCGATCATTGTGGTGGGAAGAATCCATATCAAAGTAAGCATTTTATATCATACACTAATTCCTTCAATCCTTCCAACAATACCATCCCTATGATACTCACAATTTGTCACATATATTTTTATTTATATCCGATCCCATACTCACACTTTGTCATATGAGTAGTTATTTATTGAGCAATCGATTCAAATACACAAACATACATACAATGTGTTTACACAGTTAGGAGTACTCAGACATGATTTATAACAGATCGATCATCAACTCTTTTAATTAATTAGCTGCATTAGTCTGATATAATGTGGGATTTTTGTTTGAAGTAGTGAAATATTGGCATAAGCAGTACTTAGTTTGTAAAGCGAGTGAGTGTGACACTACTCTGTATAAACAATACAAGTAGATGAGATGGTAATGAATATGAGTTGAAGAAGAAATTAACCTTGTAAAAGGTAGAAAGACCCTCATCACGTAGCATGTTCTTAGTCACCTGGACTGCAGAACCTTGTCCCAACTGAATCCTCACCTATGTTTTTATTTCATTATAGATCCAGTCAGCTTGCTTAATTGGGTAATTAATCTTAATCATGTAATAAACCAATATTTAAATTTAAAATAAAAAGGGGTACCTTGACCATATCAATGGGCTGAATGACACAAGTAGCAAGCATACCGGAGGCACCTCCATTCACAAAGGGCTTCACTGTCTTCCATACTGATACTGTGCTGCTTTTCTCCTCTCCCATTTCTAGTTTATATATTACAAATGGAGGTCTTCAGGTTCTTTGAGACAGAGTAAAAGTAATTTGTATGTATTAGATGCCAAAAGAAATGACAAATGAGAATGAGAAAGATAAATGGCTTATTACTGTATCATCATCATCATCATCTGGTATGTGGACAGATCAGGAAGCTGAGGCCTCAGCCCCACTCAGTACCACCCATTCACCCAACAATAATCTCACACCTCAACTATTCTACGCCTCTACCTTTTTTTAACTTACACCACACCATCCACACACTTGGATCTCTTACCCCTTCTTTTCCTAGTATTCTTTTCTCGTAATGACAAGTGTCGCTTGTATTTTATAATAATAATAATAATAATAATAATAATTTATATACTACCTCCGGTCCAATTTACTCGCAACAAAGGAATATTTTATGTCTCACAAATAATACCCCTTTGTTGCGAGTAAATCCGACCGGAGGTTGTATATACAAAGTATTAAAAATGAATATCAAGATAAATATAATAAGACCTCATACATCATAAATGCATAATTATGTGGTAAAGGTTTGGGCCATTGAAGCGATTTGGTGGGGTGTAATGAACAAGTTAAGCCCGAACTTAATTGGGCCTTTTGAGATTGGAATTCAGAAAATTGCTTATTGGGCCTTTTGTTATCATCTGATGAAGTAATGACCATGAACCATAAGACTCCTGACCACTTGCAGTTGGCTTTAAATGACAGTATTAAGTATGTGAGCCCCACTTGTTGACTGCTGTATTGTAATGGTCATTGGTCACTGCCAACTTATGTAAGCTGTAAAATACAAGTGTATACAGTATACCAAATCACATGCATTTATCAACTTATAATCGTTAATCATAATCACTGTTTAGCATGTAGTCATTAGTCAGTCAATACTCAATAATAATATAGAGTACTAATTAAGGCATCGTAATAACTAACTAATTATAATTAAATTTATTCATAATCCTAAGATACTAAATTAAGCGAGGACCACACGTGCATGGGAGTATATAGGCAATAATAAAATATTACTCCGTACTATTACTCGTATCTAAAAAGAGTATTAGTGTATTATTAATTAATAATGGCAGTTCTTCCAAAAAAAAATAAAAATAAAAAAATAATAAAGGCACCATTTTTGTAATCGCTGATTGAGGGAATAGAATATTATGATTAGTATCATGTTACCAGGTGCTGTAGAGTTGTATCCACTCTGTTTGGATCAATTTTACTCTTTTATCTTTCGCGAACGAACGTTCTACTTTACTATTCTGAATGCAGATATACGTACTACTTAAATTAATTTTAGGTGCATAAGATTCAATACAACTAAGGGCTTGTTTAGTTGTTTGTCATTGTTTTTTTTAAAACAATAAACAAGAAATAAGAAAAGGTGTTTTCACTTTTCTGTTGTAAGTTTTTAAAATTATCATGAGTTTAATAAATTTGACTAATTTTATTCATTATATGACTTATATCATATGATTTTAAAAACCAAAAAAACAGAAAACCACACTAATGGCAAACGAACCGTTAACTGCCGGGATGTTGATATTATAGGAGTTTATAGGTACTACGCAGCGGAAAAACATGAATCATATTCAATCAAGTACCAATCCCAAGATCACATGCATAACACACAAGACACATAATCATACCTTTGACGCGTGAATTCCACGAAGCTATTCGACAGACAAATCAGGGAGAGAATAGAGCCCCAAGCGTTGCTCCTCTACTTAGTCCACGAGATTCGAACGAGCCGTCCACCAATACTAGATTGGTCGAGTGATTGAGGAAAACCGCGATCACCACCTTAACGGACAACTGACCACCGCACGAACCACCACCACCACGACACACCACCGGCGCCTAGGAGGAGGAGAGAGCCGTGAGAGAGAGGACTTTGAGAGGGGTTGGGTTTCGTGTTTGCTAATTAGGGTTTGATCACACTGATCAGTTAATTCCTTACTTCCTTGCAAACCTAGGCACCTAGTCTATTTATAATCTTATTATAATTAGACTAGGGCACGAAGCCCAAAAACCTCTTAATCCCCTGCATGGTCGGCCACCTAGAGTGATGAGGGTCATGATGGGCCTCGTCCTCTAATGCTCGATCTAGCCCCTTTGTGTGACTTTATAGGATCCGTCCAATTGGGCTTTGGGCTATTTTACTAGTCCAAAGATCGTTAGTACCTCTAGCTATGGAAAAACGATGACCCAAATGTACGAACTTAATTATCTCCATAATTTGATCCAATTATATATCTAGTAATTGCACACGACGAAGACATAACTCCTTCAATCTCCCACTTGTCTGAGACAAGGGTGCAATATTCAAATTCCTTAAGTCAATATATGTGTTGATTTGATAATATGATTGCATCACATGTCGAGATCATATTAATCTACAAATCGTTTCTTGAAATCTGAGTTAGAATTACAAAACCAAATGATTAATGTGTAATGCATGTGAACGCGGCCACGTATTTTCTGAATTCTCCCTCTTCAAGCGGTCATGACACATTTCCTTATTTAATAGGTAGACTCTATCCAATCTTGTGGTAACATGACTCCCACTCAACTTCTGAAATAACCGGGAAACACCCTTTATAATCTCCAGTTACAGCTAGACGTTTGAGTGTACCACAGTCACAACATCCATTGAATGAAATCAATGTTCCACTCATGTCAAAGGAATCCACTAATATATACGGAAGCTCTATACTTGAACTTCAAAGTAGGTCAATAGTTCGATCATGCATCATTCATGCATATCCAAGTGATTGACCGAGCATCACTATGCCCCTATAGCCCATGAAACTGCGCTATCCAATCAGTCTTACATGCTAGTTCATTTATTGAAATCATTTATGTCCACTTTAATGATCTCGAACTAGGAACTTTAAATAATATATGAATTTTGTTCACCTGTGGGGTTTCAATTCACCAGGTCATCAACCTGATGAGCCCATCAATTTATAATTATTTTGGACATTTTATTTAATTTCCAAAACCATAATTAAATAAGTGAAATAATAATTTCTATTTTAAACATAATTCTGCAAATTAATGCATTTCTCATGTAATATGTTTTCTCAAAACATATACAACTTAAATAACATAACTTGCTTCAATCCTAGGACTTTAATATGACTCTCATATCTTAGTCCATGGAAGGGGTTTAGTGATTTCTCACTGATAATAAAACTTTGCAGAACATGACCTTCCGCTGGTCAATGATCTCATAATTGAGGTGATATCTCATATCCTTTTGTTTGGATTTGTGATATGACTTTGTCTCCTTTGTTCTTGGGCAAAGGTGACCCTTTAGTAACATGACATTCTAATCCGAACTTCCTCCGTAACTATCTGACTATAGTTTAATACACAAATTCCGACATCGAGTGTGCAACAATGCTCTGCTTTGAACTCTTCAAGCTCACTGTCCTTTTCCATCCAGACACAAATATGTATTTAGATCACCATCTAGAATCATCTTGCCTGTTTGGAAAACTTGCATTCGTGTAACCTTTTGACAACTTGCTTAAATTACCATTTAACACAACAGCTAGAAGAATTCCTTTTAGTGCTTCTCAAGTACTGAAGGATATGTTCCTGGTAATTCTCCATATGCTTATTCTGATTTTGCTTGAATTCTGCTACACATGCACAAGTCATATGCAACATCTTGCATTGTACATTTCATGGCACATATAATGAACCTTACGCAGAAGCATAAGGTACATTATCCATACAACTCAACTCTTTTAGCTTTTGAGGGCACTGAGTTTTACTGAGTGTAATAGCATGAAACATGGGAAGATATCCTATCTTAGAGTCTTGCTTCATGAACTTGTCAAGATCCTTATCAACATAAGTCTCTCGATTCATTCCAATAATTCTTCAAGATTCACTTCATGGATCTTAATTCCCAATATGTACTCAACATCTCCTAAGTCTCTCATATAGAAACAATCTTTCTGACCACTGCTTGACTTATTCAAGCATTGATGTATCATTTCATATGAACTGTATGTCAACTACATACTAGACTAAGAAGACCAATTTCTCCCACTAAACTTCTTGTCTCTACAAGATTCCTTTGTTCTACTAAGGAAATCAAACTGTTTGATTTCCTAATTAAAACGAATGGTCCAACTCCTTAATGATTACTTCAATCCATAAATGAATTTCTAAAGTTTGAAAAACTTTCCAGGAATTTCTGGATTTCAAAACTCTTAGGATGTATCATATACATTCTCACCATCAAGAACATTTCATGAAAGTGATTTTGATATCCATTACTAGAATGATCCAAATAGGCTTACCCAACTAATAGGTTTAACCCTATTTGTAAGACTATTATGGACTAACACATTTTTACAAACATGGAGTCCATGCTGGATTTCATAGCTTTAAGCCATTTCCTGAGTTGGCATTTGTCCAAAGCTTGCTTGTAGGCCATGGATTCTAACCATTCTAATGAGAAAATTTTAGAATCCACCTTTACTCAGAATTTCAACAAACTGTTTGTTTTGATCCCAAGTAACCTACGATAGGTATGAGCGACAATAGAATTATTCTCTTCAACTCTTTGAAGCCTTTCATTCTGGTGGGACGATAGAAGCCTCGCTAGTGGAATTAGCTTGCTTCGACATATGGTTTATCAAATTAGCTGATTTCATATGCCTTCGTCTCTGATGTAGTGTTATCCACATCCATTTGTTGCTCGTCTTGAATCTCATCAAGGTCTAACTTTACTCCCACTTGGCTTTGTAGGAAGACATTATTTCTATAAAGACATTATCGCAAGCAACAAACATTTTGTTTCTACGCGATTGTAGGAATAATACCTCTTAGTTTCCATGAGAAAAACCCATGAAGAACTACATTTCTGATTTAGGGTGTATTATGTTATCTTTGTAAACATTTTACATTGATTTCATAACCCTTGATCTTGTTTAGAAAAGATAAATTTTGGAACATTTCCAAATCATAACTCTTATGACATCTTTTCTACTGCTTTGGTTAAGTTTCTTGTTTAGTTTATCGCAATTGTTGTTGTTCTAATGCATATCCTCAAAACGATATTTGTAAATCATTAAATCTTGGATCGAACACTGGCAAGCAAAGTTTGATTCCTTCTTCATAAACATACAATTTAATTGTAATGTTTATGGATTGTGAATTAATTCAAAAATTCCCTTTAGATGAT